ATTTTTGAGTGCCATGTAGTACATTTTGTAACGGTACCGTGACGACGCGTTAAAATGTTGGGTTTTTTACGGGTTTTGAAAAGTTAAGAGTGTGAATAGGGAGAAAAAATTCTGGAAGGTGTTGACCGTGGAAAAGAAATAAATGGAGGGTGCAAATAGGGCTTTGGCTTAAATAGTTATATGATTGAGATAAATTAAGAAATGTGAAAGAATTACTTTTATTATACAATTTAAAATATTAAAAATAAAAAAATAACATTATCCCATAATTATGAAACTTAAAAATAGCATCAAATCTCTTTGAAGCATATGGAAAACATTAGAACCATGCATCTTTTATAGATGGGTAATTACTTAAAAATTATCTTGGAATCAATATGAAAAACAGTAGTCAATCAATGGATGAGAAGTTGATTGTTCTAAAAACATTTTTTAATTCATGATAAGTTATATAAAAGAGAAAAATTCTTCTCTTTATTTAAATTTCTTTTTACTCAAATTAAGATTAAAATTTGAGGTTTTTAATTTAAATCATTAAACTTTTAACTCGTTGAATTTTTTTTTTAAGGCAATTCAAAAATAACTTTCTCCACCAAGTTTTATGAAAGACTTACATATTGGTCAAAATTATTTTAGAGAATTGTTTGCATATTGTTTATCAAAAAAGAGAGCATCATTAATCATGAACCCAATTTGCCAGTCTGCCACTGTTACATAAAATAGGAAACAAAGCTTTGTTCAATTATCAATCCCAACAATTTCAGACTCCTTTTTCCCATTTGTGTGGACCACCCAATTCCCAAATTAAAAATCCCGCCCATTTTCTTTTCAAATTTTTTAAATCAAACTTTCCTCACATGCATTGAACTGCTCCTAATTTTTTTTTTCCTTAAAAAACTCAAATATTCCTTCAGTTTCTAGTCTACAAGAAATTTTTTATTGTAAGATAAAATATCCAAATCTACTCATAAAATATAGTGATAGGGACGAATTTATCTCAAATAAAAAGCGGGGATAAATTCATTCACAAAGTTTTCGATTTGAACAAATCACTTTAAATTTAACATATGACGTTATCTAATGTCAGCAATCCGTTAATTTATTATGTCACTAATAACATATTGTTAGTATTAAATGATATCACACGTTAAATTTAAAGTGATTTGTTCAAGTCAAAAATTTTGCAAGTAGATTTGTCTTCATTTTTTGTTTAGGGATGAATCCGTCCTTACTACTATATTTTGGGGGTAAATTTGAGTATTTTGCCTTATTGTAATGGATTCGGTATTTCCAACAAATGCATATATGATACATTACAAAAACAAAAAAAATATATTATATACTTCAAATCATATAACTTATTAAATTAGAGTAGACTTTTTTATATTGGAAGCTCTTTTCTATTTAGTGCTTTCTATTTTATCATTTAATACAGTTTAAATTGTAAAATAAAAATTAAATATGCCATATGATAAATTTCATATTTATATATGTTTAAATTTATTTTATTGAAATACTAACTCTCTATTATGAATAAAAAAAATTAACCATCTATTAGTTAAGAATATCATGTGAAAGATTCGCATGCCTTAATCTGATGGTCAAGTCCTTTGGTTTAATAAGAATCACCTTTTATGAGTTGTAATTTTAAGTTTCACACATTCAATTTTCCATTCCTCCAATTACCTTGTTCAAATATATATATATCATGTGAAAATATATGATGTGCTACACTTGTTGCACCATATACTTTCTCCAAGTTTAAAAAGATTGAGCATACTTGGTAGCGTTACTCCCAAATCATTTTGTATGTGAATTTTCTTACATGTCTAAATTATGTTTGATAAGGTATTTAATCCACTAAATTTTTTATTTTTTTTTTCAAAATGTGACTTTCTTGTAAATTAAAGACTCTAGATAAAGGGTATTTAGTAAGAAGACAACATACAACAGAATAATCTTACAACAAGATTTGAATTAAAATTCTCAATTCTTTATATACTAAATTGACTATAAAACTTTCATAATTTTAAATTGCATAATAGTAAAAAACGAATTCATTTTCATTTCTTTCTTCACTTGCATACCAATTGATTCAAGCCCAAATTCCTCATTACTACTAG